GAAAGCAAGTAATTGAGAGTGGAGTTCCTCAAGGATCAGTTTTGGGCCCGACTCTATTTCTCATTTATATTAACGACCTCACCAACTTAGACATCAATGGTGAAATTACTATTTTTGCAGATGATACATCGATTCTATGGCACAACAAAAGCTCTTCAGAGCTTAACTACCACATAAGCATAGATATAGAAAAAGTTAAGAATTGGTGTGATTCCAATCTTCTAGCTTTCAATATAAGCAAAACAAATATCATAACATTCAAGGGCGACTTAGATGATGTTTATTTGGACAAGGAACAAATCTCCATTTCTACGGATAATAAATTTCTGGGACTTCTGATTGATAATAAATTGAAGTTTGGTAACCATATTACAAAACTATGCAATCGATTAGCTTCAGGTTGCTTTGCGGTTCGTGTCGTTGCTAATGAGTTGAATTTGGGTATAGCGAAGAACGTATACTACGCACTAATAGAATCTCATCTTCGTTATGGAATCTGCTTCTGGGGCGCTTGTGCTCAGTATTTATTTCAAAGAGTATTCTCTCTCCAAAAAAGGGCAATTAGATACCTATGTTGTTCTGATTACCGTGAATCCTGTTGTCCCTTGTTTATGCAACATGGAGTCCTGACATTGGTTTGTATCTATATTTTGGAAATGTTTTGCCTCATGCACAAGAAATACCAAGCTATAATTACTTCTGAGTCAACCTATAACACTCGCTCCTCTCAATTGATTTCGCTTCCAATTCCCTCCTCAACCTAAACTCGCAACTCGCAATATACCGAATATAATAATGTTAAGGCAGATAATTCCGCTTTCTGCTTCGATAAGTTTGTAGGGGGTTAAAATGGACACCAATATGTCTTGGCTCAGTCATGTTGCTGAAATGGCAAAGACTGCTTCTCAAAAGTTTGGAACACTTTTCCGAACCAGAAAACTGTACACACCTCAGCAACTTTCGATGCTTTATAAAGCTCAGATCAGACCCTCTTTGGAGTATTGTTCTCATGTATGGAGCTCTGCCCCCAAACATACCTTGAAGTTGCTGGATTCCATACAGAAAAGAGCCATCCGCGTGAAAAATTTCATTTACCTTGTATATAAAATTATTATTGGAAACAGTTATTCGAAATGAAAAATGGACCTATCCGAATGGTTTGAGAATATTATTTATTCAGCTAATAATGAATGTATGTGTTACTTTACAGACGCATTGTACAATTGAATTATTTTTAAGAGATAAACGTGTGTCATCGAAGACGACTATCTTAGACTCGTGAAAGAAAAACAACATATAGTCGTCTGTATATAGTTGTTTATGTCTCAAGGCGTGTTCTATGGAAGTTTGCAGAATAGCACCGCCACTTTTCACATTTCACCTAATTCTGTTTAAATCTGTTATTCCGTTAATCAGCTGTCGCCCCCATACGAACGGCAACTCTCAGAAGTTAAGAAACTTGTGCGAGCTAAGGACAAACGAGGTCTTACCTTTTAACGTGTGATTCACACAACACATTGTTAAATTATACACATAAACCTTCCTCTTAAATCATCACGTTCATTAGTGAAAATTCGTTCAGCAATTTTTGTATTTATTGCGTTCAGAAAGACATACACCGCAAGGACTTCAATTTATATTGATATTTCGGTATTTCAATGATAGTATGTGTGTCTTCAATGATGATAATATAAAACAAACTCCCTGAGGTTACAACTGTAGTTTTAATACCGAATGTTATTGTGTAAATATACAGTAATCAATGGAAACCAATAACGTGTGAAAAGCGTATGACTGCTTTGGTAGTCATTTTCATTTGATTATAGTTAGTCACGGAACTCGGTAAATTGTACTAAGGGCTGAGGCGCTAAGGGCCAAAACGATTATTGTGGCCATCAACTGAAGGCTATCCCATAAATTATTAACAGCTTTTTTGCTGGGTTGAGTTGAACTGCCTTAATATGCATCGATCAGTTCTTTGTAATGGTTCAACATCTGGAACAATTTTTCATAACAGGAGCACACGAAGTAAGTTTGACACAGGAAATTATTATTCAGAAAACTTTCAATCATCAATGGATAATTACTGTAAACATTTGATATCTGTTACATCATTGTCAGCTTCAGTTGTATAGTTCAAAACAAAATATAGGGTGAGCTATATTTTGTTTTGAACCACCATCAGAAATAGAACTTTTCACCAGAATCCGAAGTCGAGTTTGTTTGTGAAGAAAAAAGTTTTCACCCAGAAAACCGGGATATGTAATATCCCGAGCTTTTTGAAAAGGAATGAGAATCGAGCGATAGAGATTTCATATTCGATACCTTAACGGGGAGATGAGGTCAACTAAGAAGAAGAAGAACTCAGGTAAAACTCAACAACATGTAAGTAGTAGGTAGTAATACTTAAATGAACACGTAACGAATACCGTTTTACCAGTATAGTAAGAAATGAGTTGAGCAGGGTCAACAAAACTTCTGAACACTTAACAGCACACCTAGATAATGACAAATTAGATTTTGCTACTATAACTATAACTATAACTGCGTTTGAATCATTTCCTTAGAAATGGATCGTACTTGGCTTCAAGAAAGATATGGATGGTGGCGAAATTACTAGATCGAATGTTTCAAAAATCAATCAACAACAANTTTTTTCACAATAATACTAGTATTTGTCGTTCTTTATTGTTTCAAGCTTATTTAAAAAAATTATTTTAAACTTTTTAGTTCGATGTTCTTCAAAAGGGTGTTTTTTAGTTTTTTTAATATATTTATTGTGTATGTCTCTTCAGCTTCCTGAAAGAACGTTCTCTGCAAGTGGCTGTTGATGGATATCTCTCGAATACTTTCACCATCAACGCTGGTGTTCCCCAGGGATCCATATTGTCTTCAACTATCTTTTTATTGTGTATCAACGACTTATTGGAAAAACTAACAAACCAATATATTGCTTTGCTGACGACAGCACATTTGTCTTGACGGCTACGGAGGCACATCTTCACAGGCAACAAGAGGTTGCATATCTCAATGAGTTTATGGGTTCCGAGGTACGGTACTGTCCTCGCTCAGGTCGTACTTATCGGAGCGTGGCCAAATTGTATCATTTGATGGTATTAAGTCTGGAAAGCAAGTAATTGAAAGTGGAGTTCCTCAAGGATCAGTTTTGGGCCCGACTCTATTTCTCATTTATATTAACGACCTCACCAACTTAGACATCAATGGTGAAATTACTATTTTTGCAGATGATACATCGATTCTATGGCACAACAAAAGCTCTTCAGATATTATAATATGTGCCTTTGACTCTACATATCTGCCTTACAATGAAATATGTAACGAATATCTCCAATTTTCTTCAAGAATATTTTGTGCCTCATACGAGTTTCAATTTTTCAGATTCAAAAACTAACATATCAAATCAACTATGGTCATAAGCTTTACAATATGACTGGTATCGATAATTCGANACTGGCAGAATTTTATTTTCTGTAAATTGTTATTTCCCTGACCTTCGCCAACAAAATCTCCAAAATAAATAAATAACTGAGGTCACAAACATTCTTTTAAAAAATGAATGAATTCAACTGAAAAAAATTATAACTGTAATAAAACACCCCGTATAAAAAATTCAGGACAGTGAAACCTTCTGTTCTTATATAATTATTTCAATTGATAATTCACAATTTCTCAGTCGGAACTTGATGTCGAAAAACAATGTTATGCCCGATCGGAATACAAATTAGTACTATCGTCATTTGGATTTCTACAAGTACTCGTAACAATGCAATATCCAAATGAATCGGACCAACCATATAAATACTCTCCTACCGACAAACTCTTCAATCGAATACATCATTCCATCAAGCTAATTCGAAAATGTCTGCGTCAATGGTAAGCACGAGTGTACCTTTAATTGTAGGGCTATGCGAAGACCAAGATAGGCTATTTCTATTATTTGTCGTGGCGATCTGAAAGTACGTGCTGAATTTTTTGATAATTCATTTCATTTATTTTACAGATTGCTACCCTTTTCCTGTGTGCAGTTAGCATTTCGACTATCACCTGTAGTATTGTACCTCACGCAGTACCCGGTTTGAGGTATACCCTTGTGGCACCACAAAACATTCGACCATTCGCAGCACAAGTCAGTACTTTCACGAGGGGGTTGAACGTATTTGCAGCACCCTATGCTGCCGGAGTCATAGGTGGCCCAGCCATCATTACCAGGGGTGTAACTGGTCCAGCTGTTTTTCCTGAAGCTGTTCATCCAGTGGTACCTGTTCCTCATGCAGGTTTGATTCCTGCAGCTCAAGTAGGTGTACCGGTTCTTCCTGCCCCACAAATTGCTCGATCAGTGCACGCTGTAGCTCCAGCATTAGGATAGAAAAGGAATATTTTTATCAGAGTTACATTTTCAAATTTGTCTGTTATTTTTCTAAACTATGATGACTGAATTATGAGATTATATATTTGTATTTGTTTAAATACACTCTAGATTTTTTTATGGTGATGCTAGTTGAAACCCCTATCTATATACAGAATACTTTACAGCTTTTCGTCTGTTGGAAATATGAAGGGTTGCAAAATGCTATTCCAAGATTCGACAGATTTCATATACGAGCTGAAAACTATAACATTTTCTGAGAATGAACTACACTCACATAGAATATTTTCATGCCAAACATTTTCACAAAATTCATCGCAAATATATGTGTCATGACAAACAGAATAATTAGTGACTGGATTAACTATAAATTGATTTAATTCGTGAGGTTGCAGTCAATAGCTGGGCTGTTACAAAGAGAACTCTTTGTTATATGTCAAGCTTTCGGTATATTTCACACCTTCGTCAGGACAACCACAATAATAAGATTATATATCTTGTAAAAAATATATAAATATGGAGAACTTATACTAACGTGAGAATAAAATATGAAATGGTTCAAAAACAGATGGAAAAACATTGATGAAACCTTAAAAGAGAC